CCTCAGCCCTCACTGCCCATGTCCCTGCTGGGACATAGTGGAGGGCCCAGGCTCTTCCTGCCTCCCTGGCTGACCCATCGCTGTGTTCAGTTCTTGCTTGCCACGCAGGGAAGGGCCGAGGAGCACGAGAAGACAAGATGCAACAACACGAGCATGGTTTGCTCTTGAGCTTCCCTCACGCGGCGGCGAGCGGTGCTGTGTTCAACCACCGCATTAGCTTTCCAGGATCATCCTTTGCAACACAACAGAGAATTTGTCTTGCACGTTCAGAGCTGGCAGCCAGGAGCTGACGTTGCTTTGTGCAGAACGAGCCGTGTTTGATCCCTCTCTCTTTTCCCTCTTGCCATTTTGCTGCCGGGGGTAGAGGGCAGCGGGGGAAGTTGTTAGCTGGATCCTGCGAGTGTGTGTGAAGCGAGAAGATTAGAGCAGAGCCAAGGGGTGGGCAGGAGATCTGAATCAGGGCAGGTTGTGACATCCTCTGGCAAAAGGGGGTCGTGTCGCTCGGCGAGGGCAATGGGGTGGGTTCCAGGTGCTTTACTGTGTGTGCAGCAGGCCGCTGAGATTTGGCGTGCTGCACAGAGATTGTCTTACAGAAGAGATGATCAAAGGGTTAACGGAGAAGGGATGATTAAAGAGGAGTGTGGGAATTATGACACAGAGCTGTCACCATAACGTGCTTTGGAGAAAGAGGGCAGAAAATGCAGTCCAAACCCACACTATTTATTTATTTCCCCCCAAGATGAGGTAAGAGCCGAGGCTTGCTGGTGAAGCAGCACACCATATTTCAGCTTGCCTCATCTCACTAGTGGGGCTCTGGCAGAGCACTGTGGGATTGGGTCTGCAGTGAAAAAAAAAATAAATTTACTTGGATGCTCTACAACAATAAAAAAGTTCCAAACAATTATCCCAGGTTCAAGGCGACCCAATACATCATCGATAATGCTGCAAAATCCCCGCCATGCTAAAGTAATCATTTTAACAGCAGCTTTACTAGGTTCTACAGGGCTTCCTTCCTGCCTCTTCATCACTGTAGGCTCTAAATATCATCCACCCTTTCCAAACCCCATTGAACTTACTCTGAAAAGCCCCTGAGCCTCCCTCTCCTTTTTTTTTGCTCTCTTTCCCACCTCTCCATAGGAATAGCCCCAAAGGCTTTCAAGAAGGAGGGAGGAGGAAGACATCTCCCCTACCCAAAGGAAGGTTACCTTGGAGCCTATGAAGGCATTTTTGCAGGAGTGATGCTTTGTCCCAGTGTTGCATGTTGGGCCAGGAGGCATGAAAGGAGAGAGGATGAGCAGCAGGCTCCTGCTTCCAGCTCCTGCCTTCCTCCTGACTGCATGCTGTCAGATGTCCCCTAGGGTCCTGAAATCCAGGGACCAGGAATGGTGGTGGGCAGCCCTCCCTGCCATTGGAGGTGATGGTTCCTGCTGTAGGTCCCAAAGCTCTCTCCTGTGGTGGAAGTGTCACCCCTTCCCCTCTGCAGCATGGCTCAGCCCTGTCACCTGCATTGGTGCTTGGGGAAACTGAGGTTGAGGGAGGTGTGCGAGGATGGCCCAGTTTCCTTTCTCTATGTCCAGATTCCATCTGTCTCCTGGCTGGTTCTTACACAGTTGTTAGACACTGTGTGAGATCCAGAAAAACATCTGTAGCAGCTAAAAATGGTGCTGTTGTTAAAGGACCTCAGGTGCTAAACTTTGCTGTGTTGGTTTACGAGAGGGCAAGGAGGGCTAGAGGGGCATAGCAGCAGGATTTTTTGTCCTTCTGCGACTGTGGTTTGAATTGGTGCTAAGATCAATAGTTCCTGAATCCCTGCAGGGATCGTGCAAGGCATGACCATCACCACTAGCTGGTCCTCTCGTTAGCCGCATCAGCAGATATCAAGAAATTAAACCTGAAACCATCAAGAAAAGGGATGGTTTGCAAATCGTTTATTAGCGTTCACTGATGCTGATGGTAATGCTTTCAATAAGCCTAATGAAAAGCATTTGACTGTCTCTGTGAACTTGATTATTGATTATTAGTGAACGATAAGAGTCATTTGATATCTTGCTGATGCCATACTCCTATTGCATTGCAGTTAAAATGTCAGTTAACGTGCCATTTAATATTCTATTAGTATTGAATTAGCACTTATTACACTGTGAAAATCATCACCATAAATCCTTATTAAGGCATGATCCATACAGCTGGGTGGCATCTCTGGCAGACTAAGAGGGTGCGTGTGTGCAGACAGACATACTGAGATGCATCATCCATGTGGATGCGTGTTCCCGGCACGCCAGGATTTGGAATTTCCACATTTGTACATTGATTTTCCCTAACAGTTTGAGAGGAACAGGCGTGCTGAACAGAGCAGCTCAAATCAGTTTCACTGACTCTTCCTGTTTTCCTCCTTTCCCTCTTACCTCCTCCTTGCTTTATTTTGGTAGCACCTGCTCTCTTACTTCAGGGGCACTTGCAAGGTTGTCTGACTGTAGCTATTGACCACCATCCTAAGGCTGACCTCAGTGCGTGTTGGACAGGTCCTTGACACACATTTTCTCTTCAGCAGAGACGAGGGAGGGTCCCCGGGTGAGTGTCCCCTTAGGAGTGAGAGGATGAGGCTTTTCTCCAGTGGCACCACTGAGCTGTTACTGACCCGAGGGACCTCTCAGGGGCATCTTTGCTGCCTCCAGGCAGTGACATATAACGAGTGTGTGTGGGGCACAGCCCCTGGATGCTGTGCTGTGTCATGTAGGGCTGCAGTGTAGGTGAGGAACACAGCCTGGCAGGGCTGGTGCAGTGTGCTGGATCTGCTGGTGCCCAGCAGCACTGATAGGTGTGCTGGGGGATATTCAGAAGTCATTGAGAAACTTCAGCCTCCCCCTAACTTCAGCTTCAGCTGTTAATCTGCTTAGCTTCTCATGGCCAGCCCTCTCAGGATTTTCACAAATCCAAAATGTGCAGAGAGGGGCTTTGAACACCTTTGAAAAAGACCTAACCTCTGTTTCTTGGTGCCGTTATGAGACTATGCAGAAATGTGTGTGCGAGAAGGCTGGTGACCCTAAGGAAGCTGGCTCTGGAGACCATCTGGATGTCCCTACAGGGCCACCGCTCCCAGCCCTGGGGCACAGTGCCCTCCCTGGGCCCTTGCTTCCAGCTCCTGGTGCTGGTGGTGACAGCCCAGGGTCACCAACTGAACTGGGCACCGCCACATCGCTGCGGTGTGGGATTCTACATCTAAGTGGCTGCTTGTGGATTCACCCGCCCCTTTCTTTTTTACAAAGAGCAGCTTTTTAAAAACAAGGCAGATCACAGCTGAGAGCTCAGGGCAAGTGCGTGCCTGGCCGGGGTGGTGAGGTCTAGTCTGAGGGGCAAACCCTCGCTTCCCTCCCTCGGCTGGATGGCAGCGGTGCTACCCGGGGTCTGTTGGGCTGCTCTCTAAAGAAAATGTTTGTTGGACAGAGCTGCTTCCAGCTTGGCCAGCAGCGTGGCGTGCCTCCCATCGATGCCCACGCAGCCTGGCTTTCCTCCTGCCCACAAGTAACCCCAGAGCAACTCGGAGAGCGTCCACGGCTGTGCCAAAAGGGAGGGGGTAAGAGGTGCCGGCCGTAATGGCAGGGTCACGTTGCGAGGGATGGCAGCTGCAGCGCGGTGTGAATGACATGCATTCAAATAGAGGAACTTGGAAAATGTCTGACTCGTGCTAAAAGGCTGTATGGAAGCCTACTGCCAAATATTTGTCTTATCTTGAAGCAATAATCTTTATCGTCTCTCTTTTCCCTTTCAAATCCAACACATGTGTGAGTAGTGAGGGAGGGGTGCCGGGTTATTTGGATGCCGGGAGGCTGTGGGCATTGCTCTGAGAGGTGAAGAACAGCTCAGGAGACTGAGCTTCCCTATGTATCCGCAGAGCGTGCTATGAGCTGCTGCAGGACAAACCCTCTCAACCTGTCTGAGCCCAGTCCTGGTGGATCTGGCTGCCAGGGTGAAAGACGAGTTACGTCTTCTTCAGCCCTGGACCTGTCAAATGAGCCACAGCTGAGAGCAAGCAGGATGTCCTCTCCTGGCACATCCAGGATCTCCTGGTCTCTCTGGCATCTCCTCATCTCTTCTGTGCATGCCACCTTCTGGAGGTGGGAAGTGGTACAGGGCAGGTGCCTTGGCCAAAAATGCGTATTTGTCTTTGTAGCACCTCTCCACTCTCTCTCAAAGAGCAAAATGCTTGTCATGGAGTTGTAACAGGGTCTGTCCTCTGCCTTGCAACCCTTCACAGTGAGGGCTATGGCAGTTGCTGGTCCGGCTGCTGCTCTTCTGCCTGCCGTTCCTTGCTGCCATTCCTCCTCTCCTGTCTTACCTGGAATGTTCACAGGACGTGCTGCATGTGTCACAGTGATGGCAGTGATGCCCCCACAGCCTCTCCTTTTCAGCCTGAAATCCGTACCTGTCTGCACAAGCGGGCAGATGTGCATTGGCAATGGGGGGTGCGTGTTAGGAGGGTGGTGTTTGAGGAGTGAATACCTCTTTTTTGTCAGAGGGATGGAGGGGGGAGATACGCTATAGCTCCCTGCCCTTGTGCTGCTGAAACTGAGGAACGGAGCAGCTGTGCCCTGAGCTGACAAAGCTGGAGCCCTGAACCTTGGCCATCCAGGCTGGCAGGGGGCTGGGAATGTAACTCTCTTGTATACTTAACTTTTGAAGGGATTTGGTGACCAGGATCTCTTGTGGCCTTCCAAAGTCTTTTTTGGTGCAAGTGTAGGCCACAGACAAAAGGAAGAGAGAGCAGGAGGCATCACTACCCCAAATCCCATGGTTTCATGAACCAATAGTTCCTGAAACCCTTCAAAAAATCATTGTGAAATATATGGCTATGGGGCAGCAATGGTGAGGAGATGCTGTGGTTTATGGGCAAGGCAGGTATGTGCTACAGAGTTTCCGAGCAAAATAGTAAAGGGAGGGGATAAAATGGAGATGATGGAGATGTTTGTTAACCTCCCCCTCACCTTTCTCATCCTCTTCAGGTGTTATGTAGAAGACAAAAGCTCCAAGGTGGCCTGGTTAAACCGTTCTGGAATCATTTTTGCTGGAGAGGACAAGTGGTCCCTGGACCCTCGAGTAGAGCTGGAGAAAAGAAACCCCCTGGAATACAGCCTGCGGATCCAGAAAGTGGATGTCTATGATGAGGGGTCCTATACGTGTTCAGTGCAGACACAGCATCACCCCAAGACTTCCCAGGTTTACTTGATCGTGCAAGGTAAGCAACATGCCTGAGAAGAGACCAAAGAGCAAAAGACACAGGGGGTGGAAGGAATCTGTATCTTTCTTAGAGACACCCCAGAGTCAGTAGCCTGTGTATGCCTTAGGTGTACAACAGGAGCCAGCAGAACTGTCCCCTTCCACTGCAGCGCGGCATGACTTTACTCTGCTGTCAGTCTGTCCTTTCAAAAGCTGTGACAGAACAGGGAACACCAATGTTGCCAAGATATACTCTAGTGTAATGCAAACCTGGTTCCTGGCTGGGGTTGTTCTGGCACCGAGGGGAAAGCATTTGTTTATAATGATGCTTGTCAGAACATTGTGCTTGCCTCGTCTCTTCCCAGATAGCCCTCTGGTTTCTTCGCCTCCTCCTTCTTCAGATTTCCTTTCTTTTTTCTTGTGTCAACAAGATACTGCACTGTGTTTTTTGGCTTTCCATTGTCAACTCTTAGCAAGGCTGGGGAATTAATTTTCCTGGATTTTTTTCTGCGCTGGGTCATTGGTTTTCAGGGTGTGCTGTTGCTAGGCTTGTGTGAAACCTGGTACCCGAGGTCGCTGCCATGTACCTTATGTTGCCCTCTCCTTTTTTAGCTACCCTCCTACTGTGTGTGTTATAGGGAACTGGAAACTTGGCAGTCTGAACCAGCGTTGTCCTATCTGTCTGCCTGCATTCATGGTATAACATAGGGCAAACACTGTGAGGAGTTCACCAGTTACTGGTAAGGGCGTTATGGAATTTACTTGTTCCAACCTGTCCAGACTAGAATACAAAATGAGTGCGTTTACTCAGGTTTGTTTTGGTTTGCTTTTAATCTTCACGCCGTTCTATCTGCCTATTTATCTAAAATATTTATAGAGCAGCTTAGATAGATAGGTAGGTATGACTGTTCGATACATATTACGAATACGTTCAGCTTCTACATTATCATTCAGGCAGGAGTTTGTTATTTGTCCTGATTTGTCTAGTAACCCAAAAGGCTGCGGATTTGATTTCCCCCAGCAAGTGTTTGAATCGCTCAGGATATAAATGCATGCATGAAGGGACTCTTCATCTTGCTGGTATTATTTGGCAAGCTGGGGACTAACTAGCATACCGAGTGTTTATCTGCAAGGTGAAGTCCAGACTTACGGTCCGGACTGAAGCATCAGAAGTGATGCTTTACATCCCAGTGCAGTGAGACGGAAGGCTCCTGGTTTGTCTTCTTCCTCAAAACCCTTCCCCAGCAGCATGAAGAGCAGCAGATGCCAGCATGTGGAGCAGCCCTCCCGGCTTCTCTGAGTGTTTACTGGGGTGTCCCTGGTGTGAAATGCACTCGCCAGCCCTGGAGGTGTACCCGGCCTCGCTACTCGCTGTAGCGGTGCATAGCTAACTGGCTGGAGGTGGTTTATTGCCAGTAAAATCCCACAGCATGATTTCCATTTACCTGTCAAGAAAAATACAGGTACAAATGAATTTTAGAGCCACACACATGTATTATTAATTTTATTTGTGCCTATTAGATATGGGCCTAAGCAGCAAAATTGAGTTTTCTAGCTTAGCTTTCACCTAAATGTGTGGGTGTCCAGCTCTGAACTACTGCCACCTTTCTGAGGATCAGAAAATTCAGGTTTTGGCACACCTAAACTCTAGATGCCTGTAAACAAGGCAAAAGACCCATTGCAATATCATGCTTACTTTTAAAGCCCGAGGTCCTGTAATCCTGCAATTAGGTGAAACTCATAGCTTTGATTTTCCTAAAACTAAATTTCATCTGGTAAAAAAAAAACAAGCAAAATATAAATACAAAGTCCTTTACAGTTTGGAAGAGTTAGATTCATAATTTTAAAGCATGTTTTTATTATTTTAAAATTAATAAATAATTCATTTCAAATAATCTTAACTAACAAAACTAATATATTAGAAAATAGTATATGTTAGAAGACACCTGTTTCTTCTCTGAGTATAATTTTCTCATATTGATTATTATTATTCTCAGATTTGCAGGTTGTCTGCCTGAAAAATAGTCTGCTGCTAGTACAAACGAAAAGAGTTTGGACACTGAGTCATGCTAAGCTTTTAAGTTTTATTTGTCTTATGTAGTTTATTTACTTTTTTGGTTTTTATGTTCATAAATTTAAAAACATCGGCTATGTGAAGCTCTGGGTAGCCCAAACGTAAAAATAAATAAATAAAAAAAAAAATACAGCTCCTGAAAAATTTAAGTAACGTGCTGGTCAATTGATCTGCGTAGTAATCCAGCAGGAGGATTTCTTGAATGATGGTCAGTGATTCCCTTCAGACAAGCCCAGTGAAACCAAAACAAGCCAAAAGAGACTCCTTGCTAGCTTTGCACACACTGGTGATGCTTGGATGTGTCAGTGAAAGGTCCTGCTCATGTCCTGGAAGCAATAGGCTGCCCTAAGGCCACACCAAGGCTTCCCGTTCTGCTCAGTTGGTGCTGTCCATGGGTATTTCTGCTCCCCACTGCGCTGTATACCAAAGATGGGTCCTTTATCTCCCCGGGTTCAACTCCCTCATCTCTCTAGCTGCTATGAAAACCCAGCCCTTGTCGCCCCTAGAAACAAGTGGGATAGCTCTATCAGAGACTAACAGGTAGGCAGATACTGGAGTGGTGCTGGAGCCCTTATAAATGGAGAAGATCACTTCCATGTCCATAATGCAAGCTGAAATAGAAAGGCTTTTGTGTATCCTAAGAACTCATTGCATTTAGATTACTGCAGGCTAATGGAGTTGCATTCCAGGAGCAGGTCGTTTCCTCCTTTAGAAAATCAGCTTTCTCTGGGGTGAACTCTGCTCAGTGAACTCTGCTGGCCAGAGCTGCAGGAGTATGTCACAGAAAGAGGGGCATCACCTTTCTAATGTGTGTGCCCATGTCCTTTAGTATTTCCAAGGGAAGAGCCAATTCTGTCTCGTCAACCAGCACCAGTCTCTGCATGGGCAGCCTACTGTGTCCACTCCTCTCCTCTCTGGCTTAGGTGTGTATGTCCACTGATAGGATCACTCTCAGCTGGGGCATATTGCAGAGGTCTAAAAGAGGGTTTATGAAATGACACTTAAGAAAACAGTCACAACTTGGTAGACAGCTGAAAGTAGAAAAAGTCCTCTTCATAAATCTTTCCTCCTTTTCAAACTCAAAGCCAACTCGGCTGGTAGAAGTAGGCATTCACTGCCAAAAGGTTCATTAGTATAACCATGGCCACCTCTTCTGCCTTGCTGACCTAGGTGGCCATCACTGCTTGTAGGGTGGGTTGGACTGGAGGCAGCTGTCTCTGCCCAGCTCAGTTGCTACCAGATGCTGATACTGTGCTCTCTGTGATGGGGTGAAAGCATGAAGAGACTGCTCTGAAGACCGCCTTGCTCAAAGCATTTCGTGCTGCCTCAGTTGGGGTGTAATGGCTACTAGTGAATCTTTTCATTCACTACCTCAGGTATTTCTGTAGGGGTCTGATGAGAAGAGCAAAGAGGTGGAAGGATCCACAAGAAGTGGTCTGGTCCTTCTCCATGCAGTGAGACGAGATCAGCTATACAGTGGCTGCCCTTACTTTTTGAAGACATCCTGTGCCTGCATTGCCAGTGCATGGCCATTATTTCACTCTACTTGCGCTTGGAAGGCTTTTATTAACATATGATCCAAATTGATTTTGCTGCCAATTATTTCTGGTCCTTCCAAGACACGTGGTGGTAATTTCTCCTGCTCTTCCTCAAAACTACCATTTATCTGTTAGAAGCCCATTGATCCCTGTGTCTCAGACCTCTCTAGTCTAGCATAACAGGCTCACTTTTTCTCGCAGGTCATATTTTCTAACCCTCATTGTCATATGTATTTCACTATTGTCTGATTTGTCTATGTTTCCTTAAGCGTACTGTCCAAAACCAAAGCAAGAGTTCCAGTTGAGGACTCAGTCATGCAGATTAAAGTACCAGTCATGTTTTGCATATCATGCTTCACTTGCCTAATCCCAGAATGAGATGAGATTTAGCTTTTAAAAAAAGAGCGCCTCATTGCTTTCACTTATTTAGTCTCTCTGCTGCTCTGTAACCCTCTGTTACTGGTCTGCAACACAGTCTGCAGCTCATTCCCCACTTCTGTATTTGGGCATTAATTGTTTTTCTCCCCTTCCAGAGCATAGTGCTTTGTGCTCGCTGTTGTTGGATGCCATCTGGTTGGTTTCTCCATGGAGACCACTTCTTCAGTTTACTTATGATCCTGGTCTCCAAAGCACTTGCAACTGCCTCCAACTTGGTATCATCGACAAAAGTCAGGTGCCTTCTTTCTGTTCCATCATGAAGGTGTTAATTAAAGTATTGAAGAGATCAGGGTACAAAAGCGGACTGTGGTGGCAACCTACTAAAACCCCCATCCCTGGTGGATAGCGATCTGTTGATTGCAGCTCTTTTTTAAAGCATCCTGATGGTGATTTGACATCCACCACGTTCTCCTAGCCTGTTCAAGAGACTGTCATGTCTTCTGAAGTTGAGAAATATCACATCATCACACATACTGCTCCCGCATTATCTGCTATGCCAGATATCCTACAAAATAAAAGGGAATGAGGTTGAAGTGACATGATACATGCTTGCCAAAAGTACATTGCTTATTTTTGCCTTTACTGTATTATTATTCTCTAGGTGTTTATAAATGGGATGTTTAATCGTTTGTTTCAGTATGTTGAGTGACTTTTTCCAGGAGAATGAGCCATGACGGGGGCGCACACAGTGGCTGCTCCTTTCCCAGCATGACTTTAGGTTCTTGTTCTTTTAGGGCTATATACTCAAGCCCATCTCAGGCATTAAATATCAGTGGGGAAATCCCAATAGTCCTTACTTGTCTCATCAGGGTCATAGGCACAAAGGCACAGTGATCTTAGCAGACATGGGGTTTTAAAGTTTCAGGAGTAAAGACTTACACCTGTCCAGGTCAGGCTACAGGAATAACCCTTTCCACTGGGAGCAAGCAGGTGGTTGCTGTGTTTGCTGTCCAGAGCCTTTACAGCAAG